CCATGCCCAGCTTTTGGCTACTTCTTTAGTCTAGAATGTTTTCCGCTTCTCTTTTTATTTGTATAATGTCATTTTCTTTTTAAAAGATTTGTGTTTAAATTCTTTTGTAAATGGTCAGTTATTTCTAGAGCTGCTAATAAGGCACCTGATTCATTTTAGACAAGAGGTGGAAAAAATTCAATTCTTGAGAAAGAGAAACATGAGGAAAAAATGATGGGAAGGGAAAGAAGCCATGGTTACTAAGACATAACTTCTGGTTTGTTAACTTGAAAATGTGGAAATCTAGAGTCCATTCTTTCCTTTGTTCTATATTTTCATTATATTATTCTCTGTTGCTCTTTTTTATTCTGGCCTTGAGGGTTGAACTCAGGGCCTTTTCCCTGAGCTACATCTCTGGCCCTTTGAAAATGTTTTTATTTTGAGGTAGGGTCTCATTGAGTCAATTAGTTGCTGAGACAGGGCTTGAACTTGTGATCCTTTAGCTTCCCAGAGTGCTGGATCACATGCATGTATAGCCATTCCTGGCTATGTGCTATATTTCTATTTGGGCAGTTTTGTTGGGGTCAGTATGAGTAAGTGGCTGTGTCTGGGAACAGCAGGACATTGGGAAAATTTTTCTGCAATCTGATTTCAGAAAAACTGAAGGCAAATTGCTTCAGTTTTAAGATATTAAAAGTATATACAATGATGGTGAGTTTAAAGTTTTAGAATGTCAGACTCAAAATGTGGAGATTTTTTAGCCCAGTTCTCTCCCATTTTACAGGTGGAGTAACTGAGCCCAGAGAAGTTAAACAAACAGGTCACATACCTACTAAAGACAGAGCTTGGACTGAAGTGTCCAGATTCCTAGGCCACTGTTTTAGAAAACTTCTGAAACCCTTTAAAATCAGTTAATTATCTGGGTGTGGTGGTACATACCTGTAATCTCAGCAGTCAGAGACTGAGGCAGGAGGATTGAATGAGTTCCAGGTCAGCCTGGGCTACAAACTGAGTTCAAGGCCAGCCTAAATTAGAGTGTGATATTACATCTTGAAGCACCGCCTCCCAAAATCAGTTAATCCTTGTAAGAACTTGGTGAAGTAGGTTAGTGTTATTTATTAACTTAGTGCCACTTACTAAAAAAGTGATTAAACATGTATGATACTAACTGATTATCAAGATTAAATATATTTCAATTACTCTAAAAAGAACAGATTATTAAGCAGGCTTATCCATTTAGGGATTAGCTTTCAGTTTCTTGTACAACCAGTTTAAAGATCATCACTGTCTTACCTGTCATTGTAAATTCCTTTTGTGTCAGGCATAAAGTCTGCTTTTTCTTAGTAAATTTAAGCAAATACAGAGTCGTTAGATTGGCCATGTCTCAGTCCGCCTGCAGTTCTCCTAGTAAATGAGTGGGGGAGAAGAGTATATTGCCAGGGCCTTCTATAAATTATTAGAAGGCATCACCACCCCTGTTGTGTTCCTTCCAAATGACCTCACCAGGCTGTGCTTTCTTATCTCCCTTCTTTACTATATGGAATAAGCAGGAGGTGTAAAATACATTTTAAATAATATAGATTGTGATAATCATTTTCTGAATATGATCAAATAGTTTCCCAAAACAGCCTTTAATCACTCTTTGCATAGAAGACTCTTTAATCATTAAGCGACTTGGAATTTTTAGTTCAAAATTTGAATTGAAGTTGTTGTATTATAGACCAGAGTAATGAGTTTGAAGTTCAGAGCTTCTTTTCTGGGGTTCTTGTACTTTCTTCCTTCGAGTGTTCACTGCTCTCGTGCTGTCTACTTTGGCATCCCACAAGAGCTTGTCCTTCCCAAAAAGTATCGCTAGTGCCCAAATGATTTCTTACTATCAGTAAAACAATTTCTGCCTCCAAACCCCAATGTCAGCAAGCAGGAGTGATAGAATTACAGACAGAGCTGAAAGGATCTTTGCAAAGCATCTCGTCTTATTTTATTGATGCGAAAACTGAATCCTAGAGTGGCATGGTCACTTGCCCAAGGTTATTGGCAGAACTAAAATTTAAGTACTCTGAGGAATGGTTTAACCTATGAGTTTTCACTTCCTCCCCTATAACATAGAAATCAAGATATTTACTCAGGTTATGATGAAGCTGAAATATGAGAAATAAATGAAAATGTTTTAAAAAAACTACAGTTTGAAACAAGTACCTTTACATTTTCTTTTTTTTCCCCCTGAAGCCATCTGCTTTCCTTATGCTAGATGCTAATTAACTAGGAAATGTTAACAGGCTATTCTTCCATGTGGGATTTGCACTTGGAAAGAAGAGGTCTTCAAGATCCATTGAGCACTGGAGAAAGGGGAAAAAACTCACACAAAATGGCTTAAGAAGTATCCCAGCTGCCTCTCAAATTACTCAAGATGTATCAAACAGCAGTAGACAGGCATATTTTCACAGTAACAGTAAAGCATACTTTTAGAGGAGGCAAGAACTTTGTAAAGAGAGAAAAACTGCCCACACAATAGTTCAAGCATCTAGGGTAGAGTTGGACAAAATTAACTTAAAAATTACTTTGACACAGAAATTCTGTGATTGTGTAATTGCAACTAGTTGATTTTTACAACATACACACTCCTTTTCATGCTTTCTCTTCAGACCTGGAAACTTAATGTATTATAAATTGCTTAAGTGATCTTAAATGTTTTTCAAATCCATTTTATTCAAGGATAAAAAGAAAGAAAAAAAAAAACAACAAAATTTCAAAACATCAATCAGGGGCTAACAATGATACATACATTGTGCAAAAATTAAAAACAAAAAGAAAAAGAAACTAACACACATACGCACAGTCACACACAAGGCAATTTAACAGGTTTGGTTTTGTTTTAATTCAAGATGAATATGAAAGAAAAAGGCCATGACCTATAGCCTTCAAATTACCAACCTTAATGGGATGAGTTTAAATATCATTTAATGATATTCAGCAAGGAAGAAAATCTGTTTCAATTTCTTCAACTTTTTAGTTTATTTAGATGAATCTGAAGTCCAAAGCAATCATTCTAATGGGCTGCCTTGAGTTGGGGTGTATGTCAGTGGTAAAATACATACCTATGGGGCATGTACAAAGCCATGGCTTGATTCTCAGCTCCCTTAAAATTCTCCACTTAGCTGCTTTGACATTTATGTGGCAATGTAATAGGAAATGGGATTATTCCACTCTATTTGGAAGCACCTGATGGAGGTATCAAATCTTCACATTTCTGTTCACTCCTAGCAGAAAAAAAAAAAACCACACAAAAATGCATTGCGTACTTAAGGCCTGGGAATAGAAGACTCTAAATCTTATCCATTTTATGTCCCCAGCACTTCACAGAGAGAAGATGTGCACGACATCTGTTCAAGGAGTAAATAAGAGATATCAGTGTATTGCAAGTCATATATAGGTGGGTAGGGAGAAAGTTGTTGGAGGCTGTAAAAAGAGCATGGAAGTGTCTCATTTGAGATGGCTCATTTAAGAAACAATAGGAAGCTCAGTTTACCTGACATTAAGGGTGCTCTGTGATGGAGGTAGAATAGCTAAAAATGATGCTAGTTAGAGAAGACCAGGTCACCAAGGGTTTTATATTCTGTGCCACAGGTTTGATCTTACCTCGAAAGCAATGGGGATAAGGAGAGGGAGCCAACAAGGATTGGAAGCTGGAGTGAGCTTTTAAATCAGGGTGTGGTGTCATGGTTATATTAGTGTTTGAGATCCAGCTCTGACTTCTGGTGTGAAATGGATGAGAGGAGTGTTGGGAAGGCAGTCAAGGGGGTGAAAACCTGCAGGCAAGGTGACCATTTAGGAGCAGTTGGGGTGCAAACAAAAAGAGGATCTGAGCAAAGCTAGTGATAGCAAACAGAGGTGAACATCTTTTTAGGACAAAATGAACAGCAAAGAGATCTTGATAGAAGAGAGTGAAATTAACACCCCATGGCAGACAACTCAGGATAAAACAGCTCTGTCAGAGCAGCCACAGTGAGAAGTATCCCAGAGTGAGCTGAGAGCAAGTCTAATAAGTATCAGTTCTATGAGGTGGCCATCAAGAAAGCAAATGCTACACTGGGGAGGGAGCTCAAGTTCAAAAGTCACCCAGACAAGTGATGTGTCTACTTTGGTCTGCTCTGTACAGAAGGGACTGCACCCTGGGGTGGGAGTAAAAAAGAGATACAATTCTCAGCATCTACTTTGAACGGATATATAGGAAATAGCTTCAATTCCAGGAAGGTCCTTGAATTTATGTCTTTGGAGGAATAGTGGATCAGAAGGAATACTGGATCAGAAAAACTGTCTTCAAATTCTTGGACATCATGGGGGAGGAAGGTCAAGGCTGGTTTTGTTTGGCTTCAAAGGGACAGAAATTATCAAGGACTCAGTGTCACTTGGCCTCAAACCAAGAGGCCAGGGACCCAAGTAGCATCCTGCAGAGCCAGTGAACCCCTGACCTTGGCAACTGTCTAGCTTATGAGGGCAGGGCTCCTGTACATAAGAGGCAACAACAGCAACAGAAACAAATGATGACCAACGTCAGTGTGAAGAAATCAGTCGATGACCCTCGATGTTTTTGCTGACTTTGTAATGTGTAGGATCTGACTAAGTGGGTGGCCATTTCTCAGCAGTCTTGCCTCAGAGATGAGGTGGGCATCAGTACCTCTCTCGTTAGCTTTTAAAATACAAGTTTCTTCCGAGGAAACAGGTTGTGTGTAGGTCGGCAGACCACTTTGTTGCAGTCTCTGAATCGGTATAATTTTGTGGGTAAGAAGAGGGGCTAGCCTGTGTAGGGCCTCGGAATCCTCAGGAGCAACAGTGAAACAGGATAAGCTTTGGCTCCAGCTATGCTGCACAAGAGGGGCGGGGTTTCTTGAATGGTTCCCCTGGAGGAAGTGATTGGCCCTGGGGAAATCGAGGGGGCGGGACTAGTCCATTGTTGCCATTGGTCCTGCGGGCCAGTTGAGAGATGGCAGCGAGGGGGGCGGAGTCCGGGAGGGGAGGCAATTGGTTTGGCTAGAGTCCACCGAGGGAGTGAGCGGGCGGGCAGGCGAGCCCGCAGCCCGCTGCCCGCAGCCCAGAGTCTGCAGCCCGCTGCCCGGAGTTGGGAGGCAGCAGCCGCGAGCTCGCCAGGGCCGCAGCGGGGCGAGAGGTATACAGGGCGTTGGCAACGGGGAGCGCGCCTGCGTCGCTGACTTGGATGCGGCGAGAACGCTCCTGCGTTCTGTGCGCTGGATGCGAACCATTCAACAGCTGGCCTCGCGGGCAAGAGTCACGGGGAGCTACGGCGGCGGCTGGAGGGAGGCGACAGAGTCAGTGGCGATGGTGGTGACAGTCTCGCTATCCCAGCAGAGCCCAGAGTGGAGACGCAACGGCTCCTGAGGCTCCCGGTAAATGTCCTTCGCTCTGCTCCTAGAAAAGGTAGCCACAGCCCGCTGCATCTTGGTTGGCTGGCAGCCCCGGCCTAGCAGAGCTGCGGGTGCCTCTCAGACAGGGCCACGCTGGACCCTCTGTGGGGACAGGGGACAGGGGACAGGCTGCGCAGAGGACCTGGCTCTCCCGGCTACGTCAGCAGAGTTAGGTTTTCCAGAGATGCCTCTAGGCTCTTGCCAGTGTCCTCTCCCTTTACCCTAGACCCTGCGGCGCTTCCTCCGGCCCTGACGCCGCTGTAGGGGGAGCTCTAACCACTGCTCAGATGGAGGTCACTGGGAGGCATTCCCCTAGGGTAGGTTGGTAGTGACTTGCGGCTAATGAGAGCAGAAGATGCCCTGTGTTGCTTGATCAGCAAGCCAAGGGCTCAGGCTCAAACTGCCCCCCTCGCTCTTGCAGCACTCATCCAATTAATCACGGTTCCGCGCCCCACCCCCACCTCATCCCCTCCTGTTGACCAGGCCCTTGACCTCAGGGACTTCAAGATGTGAGGTTTCTTGTGCGAGTAGATAAAATTTGTTTCCAGTTTGACCAAGAGAGCAGGGTCACCCAAAGGCTTTCTGAGTGTTTGGTCCAGAGTGTGGGTTGGTGGGCAGAGGTGTAAGGGAAGGAAATGAGATGGGGAAACCTATACAGCAAGGGAAACTGCCGTCCCTCTACTTGGAATCATAGTCTTGGTCTTTGGGACCCATACCTTATTTTCTTTTGATCAGCCGGATTTTGCAGTCATCACTGGAGAACTTTTGAATGCTGCTAATTCCAGAGTGACGTGATAGAACACTCACTTCTTTTGGCATTTTTATTCTCAGAGATCATGCCCATTTTGCCCTAGGTCCCTCTCACCTCTGATCTAACTTCATGTTGTTGAAACTTAGGCGGCACAATTGAAAGGGCTCGATTTCCATTCTCAGGAAACAGTTCTTGGGCATAATATAGTTGAAGCCCCTTAAAATACATTTTTTAAAATTTATTTTTTTGTACTGGGAATCAAACTCAGAGCCTTGTGCTAGTCAGGCAGGCATTGTGCCGTTGAGCTATATCCCAGCTCCCTAAAATTTGCTTTTTAAAGAGTATAGCATTGTGACAGTCACATTTCTTATGGTCTTTGTGCGGGATGGTGGCTTCTCAAAGTATGGAGTAACTTGAAGCATAGAGTAACTTCCACGAAGGTGTTGTTCTTTCAGTTCTTGTTTAGAAAAGAGAAAAGTGAGAAGTGGATTAAGCCTGTGGGCACTGGTGCCCAGGGGCTACACACATCAGCTACTACACACATCAAAAGATGAATGAGGCTGGCTTGTGGTGGACTTAACATTGTGCGGCCAGGGGCTGCAGAGGCCACCTTGGTTTCTGTAGTGGACTACACGCTTTTTCTTTAGTCCTAGCAAAAGATCCCACTTTCAGTGTGGCTGTTTATCCAGGTTCCTCATCACATACTCAAGAAAGGATAGTGGCCTTTATCTGGCTTTATGTGTCCTCTCCAGCATCAGAAGGAAAAGTGAGGCTTGGGATCTGGGAAGGTGGAGGTGAGGAACATGTAGGCTACAATATGGTGGTGGTGGTGGTGGTGGGGATATTGTAAACATCGCAGCAGCTCTCTACCACTGAGACTAACTGCATATTTATCTTCCCAGTGTGCACTCTTGCCTTTGCCAGAGAGGGTAAGTTAACTTGTCTCAGAAGTGGGGTGTGAGTTACTCAACTCTGATTCATTACCCTCTTGAGACTATGGATTTTATGTTATATCCAACCTACTCCAGATACTTTAAAAAGCTTTACAGCCAAGATGAGGGCTGAGGCAGGCCTGATAACCGGGGGCACAGAGCAAACATGGGCTGCATGGAATCTACCAGAGCTTTGGAAGAGGTAGCATAAAAGCTGCAGCTCTTGATAGAAGAGAAGAAAATTCAGTGAACATCAAGTAGCCATAATAATAATAAGCGTTCACATTAATTTAGTACGTATGGGGTCTGATAGTTTACCATTATTTCATGTAATGCATCACAATCATGCAAGAAAAGAAAAGAAAAAATTCTGTAAAGTAGGCACTATTAGGGGTTAGACATCTCTAATCCAGAACTCTGAGATCCAGAATTTAAAACTTTTTGAACACTGTTGTGAGACCACCCATAGAAAATTCCACACCTACTCCCATGCACCAGGTTGCAGTCAAACGGTTGCATCAAAAATACCATATATAATTTCCTCTAGTCTAATCAGTGTGGCGTATCTATGAAACATGAATTAATTTTGAATTTAGACTTCAGTCCCATCCCCAATATGTCTTTGTATGTATTGTATAAATATTTCATAAATCCAAGGTCTGAAACACTTCTATTTTCAAATATTTGAGAGAAGGGATACTCACAGTTCTCAACTTCTGAAGTTCAAAGAATTCACTAACAATCCAGTGACATCCCCCTTTCCTGGTCAGTGGCAGAGGTGGAATTTGAATTTATATCTGAGTGACCTCAGACCTTGAGTTTAAAAGTTTTTTGCTTTTTACTGTCACAGAAAAGTTTCATATAAAAAAAGTGAGATGTGGGCAAGATTTTGAAGGGTAGGGAGGGGATAGTCTGCTGAAGAGATCCACTCAAGGAGAACTGACCCAACTAGGAAGAGAGATGGACACAGGGGTTTAATGAAATACAGGGCTGGAGAAGTGGGAGAGGAGTGTATTTTGGAGAACCCTAAGGGGAACTTGTGATTTGATGCAATGAGAAATAGGGGATGTTTGGGCTGGGGGTGTATCTCCGTGGTAATGTGCTTGCCTAGCATGCATGAGGCCCTGGATTTCACTGCTATAAAGAAAAAAGAAAAGCAAGACCAAATAGGGGATGTTGTGAAGTTTTGAGCAAAAACATGACAAAAGTGGCACCACTCACCTGATATGACCTACCCAGGTCCCTGAGCCTGTGCCTTTGTCCTCCTCTCTTGATAGTCTTGCCTAGATGTCTGTATATTTAACTTTTTAAAAATTTTCTGAACCCTTCTTGACACTGAATCAGATGCATGCAAATAAACAGAGTCCTAGGTCCAGTGTTCAAAAAGAGCAAACTAGAGACTGTGGGCTACATTTAGTCCTAGATGGATATGCTTCAGCCTGTACACTGTTTGTAAATGTAAATTGAATTAGAGGGACAGCATTGAAAAAACAAGATCTCAAAAACCAGGATTTCCAGCTTATGTTGAAGTGCTAGAAGGCCTGGGCTATGTTTCCTTGCAGAATAGACTTCTTTAGCTGGTGGCCAAACGTTCTGCATCCCTTTACCCAGTCCTCAGCACCCCATTCCTAGGACCTGGTTGTGTGCACTCTGGACTCCTGCTTAAGGAGGATTCTAATCCTCCTGTGCAGGAAAATTCTAATTGAAGATCAGCTTCTCGCCTTACTATGTAATTGGGGAATTGTCAGGCTCACTGTCTCTGTGCAATGAGAATAACCATATCACACAGAGATGCTGCGACATCATTGTGGAAGAGCTCACTGCCAGGGATTGGCATTTCCCAGATTCATCTGGCCTGGGACTGAAAACCTGCTATCCTGGGGCCCCAGAGAACATTTTGGTGGGGCTTGTTGTTCTGCTTCATCTTGTACGTGGGCTCAGGCTTTTTTTTTATTGGATATTTTATGAATACAAGATCTAGTTCAAAATGATAAAATGAGTTTGATAGGGACAACCTAAAACATAGCATGTTAAAAATATTAATTTGGAAATCTCTGAAAGAACTCCGAATATTCTAGTTAGATGAGTACAAACCACTTCTGTGTTGGCATCTGGGCAGGGAAATCTTCAGTGTACAAGTCTGTCTGGGAACTGATGGGCATTTAGCATCTCTGGACTCTGCTTACCAGATGGCAGTGGCACCCCTCTCTATGCCAGTTATTGTGACAACTGCAACTGTTCCTATGTATGTGCCAACACTCTTGAGGAAAACGATACTAGAGCATTTAAAACCCACAAAGCATATTCCCAGGAATCCTAACATTCATTTGATGTGAAAATATGTTAAGGCCATGACTTTATCTGTGACCCAAAGCATCCTGTGTCTTTCATGGTATTTACAATTTTCTTCCTCAGATTCTGGTTAATTGTCTCTATTTTTTTCTCCGTCTAGACTCAGTTTTTTGAGGGTGATTCATCACTGTGACCCCCAAAGTGTCTAACAGAGCAGGAGCTTGGTAGGTATACTTGAACTTACCTGAGTGTTCAGTTTTTAATTTTAGTAGCTCTAAGAGTCCAAAGGAACATTCAAGTCTGCATTATCATTTCCCTACTGGTCTCTAGGTGCCAGTATTAGTATTTTTAAATATGGAAGTGATACTTTTAAAATGTAATTGTTAAGCAAAGTTTCTGTTTTAGGTAAGATTTATTCTACTTAAGTTTTACTATGTCCCACATACTGTTTTAGGCTATGGCAATCTATATGCATTACTGGTGCAGCAGACAGATGCAGTTCCTGTACTGGAATTTATAAATTGAGGAGGGGAGGAAAAATTCTCTGAGGAATCTCATTGACATTCAAGTCAAATCTGAAGCTATGAAAAGGAGCCAGGCATAACTAATCTTGGGGAGCACCCTGCAGGCAGACAGAACCACAAGTGCAAAGGCCCTTAGGGGTGATCCAGATGTATTTGTGGGGCAGCAAAAAGGCCAGTGGGGCTGAGCAGAGAGAACAAAGGCAGGACTGAGACAGGGTGACTGAGTTGAAAGAGGTAAGCAGGGTTTGTATTTCGAAGGCAAGCAGTTTGAACTTCGTTGAAAGTATGTTGGGAAGCCATTGGAGGGTTTTGAAAAAAGAATGTCTAAGTTTATTTATTTAAACATATTTTTGATTGTTCTGTGGATGGACCTCAGGGCCTCAGGCATGTTACGGAAGTGCTCTACCACTAAGGTATACCTCCAGCCCCTGAAGATTTCTTTGAAATACCATTTTGGCTACTGTATAGAGTAGAACTCTCTAGGGACAAGGATAGAGGAATAGTGTATGAGGCCCTTGCAGTAGTTCAGGTGAGACATGATGACGGCTTGGACCTGGAAGACAGCAGCAGATGAAGATGGATTTGGAATGTGAGGTGAAGGTAGAGTCACAAATCCAAAAAGTAAAACTATAAATTCCATTTGGCTCAGCTGTTCACCTTCTAGGTATCTTCTAAAAGAGTTAAAAGTCATCATATTACCGTGATCCATGCATATCCATATTTATAGTAGCACAATTCATAATAGCTAAATTATAGAAGTGGCCCATAAGTCCATCAACAGATGAATGGATAAAAAATGTGGTATTTGTACACAGTGGAGTACTACTTTGCCATAAAGATAAACTTGAGTTATCTGTGGGAGAATGGATGCACCTTGAGAAAGTAATATTAAGTGAAATAAATCAAACATGCGAGCTTAAATATCACACAGTTTATCTTACATGAGAAACCAAATAATAAATAAAGAGCAAAGTAAAAGACAATGGGAAACAGGGAGATAGATCTTTTGCAAAAGGGAATTGGATCGAGGGATGGAGGAAGTGAAGGAAAAGGGGATGAAAAAAAGAATTAAGATGCGTTATGTACGTATACTCCCCATGGTGAATATAATCATTATGTACTGCAAACATGTACCAGTCAAAACAGAAACTAAAACAGGTAAAATAAAATGATTAATCTGACAAAAAAGGACTTGCCCAAAGATTAGAATCACAGAGGAAGAGAAGAATTCAACGCTAGGTTTTGGGCCTGCATACTGGGATAAATGGTGGTCCTATTTATGGAGATGAGACTCACTGAGTGGAAAGGAGCCAGTCAGAGCTGGGGGACAGGTTTGAGGATGGAAATTAAGAGCTTTGGTGCCCTTCTTAGGCTGAGATGCTGGTGAAATATTCAACTGGACACATTGAAGAGGCAGTTGAATGTGAATAAAAGATTGGCTGGAGCTCAGCCCATTTAAATTTAATGTAAATTATAGCTGCTTTGAACTGCCATTATATACTAATAAAGGTAGCAGACATAAAATGATAACGATCCAATGTGAGCAGGGCCACAAGGGAATCAAACATGTTAATCCTGCTGATGGCCTGATTAACTGACTTAATGTTTCAAGACTAATTTAATAGTATTAGTGAGCCATATAAGTTTATTCTTGACCATTGATATGACAATATCTTCAGAGGCAATAATTTCTAAGTACAATAATTGATTTCATAATTTACTGATAGAAAGCGCAAATGACTTGATGCTTCTGTTTTCCCAACCCTTGAATTCTCTGGTTCTCTTTTTCTAGTAAAACAAAGAGTTAAAAGCAGGTGGTAGCTAAGTTAAAAAGGAAAAGATTTCAAACATTCATATTATCTCTAGCTAGAAGTTTCAAGCCACCAATCAAAGCAACTTCAGTTCCTGGGTGCCCAGCAACATTTTCCTTTTCTGCAGAGTAGAAAATATAATCCACAGTTATGACACTTTGCAAATGACGAGTGGTCACTTCTAGAATTCCAGGGTCAGGAAAGTAATATGAATAAACAAATGACAAGCTGAAATGGTGTCATAAATTCAAAGATAACATTTCAGCTGGTACTAGGTCCTCTTTTATCAAGCTGTCTTTGTGTGTCACATCACCATCTTTATTTTCTACTTTTGGAACCTGCTGTACCTGATTCACATAGTGCTATGGGATACCTAAGTTTGGGAGTCAAATTGGAATAGGTAAAATTCTTTGTCTTTGTAAAGACTATTTTTGGCCAGATACCTTTCCTATAGCAAGTCCTTAAAAATTCAACTCTCCTTCCTTTATGAAACTATAAAGTGGAGACCAGGAACACAATTAAAGTCACCACACATAATAATAGGGCAGAAACTACCATTTTTCTGACGAGCAACACTGGAAATCTCTGCCAGTAACATTGCCAATTAGATCCACTTAATATCACCTCACCTCGGATTATACAACAGATGTGCTAGCAGCACAGATTGCAGGAGAGGCAGTGTAGGGAATTTTGGGCTGCAAGAATAAAACTAATCTAACATTCTCTCTGTCTAAGACAGGAATATCAGAGTGGTGGAATTCTACTGGGTTCACTGATAAAAGTGAAAATTTGTAATGTTTGAAGCAAATGGCACAGCAATCATGCGTCCTTCCCATTCACGTCTTATATTCACAGTGATAACCCAGTGATCCAAAACTTGGCTTAATTTCTAGTCTATAATGATCTTATGAACTTCTTATAGACAAAGTACATCTGTGTCAAAGTGTTTAATTTCTTTCTGAATATTGAGAAACCTAAAACTCCCAAGATAATACTGGTCATTGGCAATATCTGTAAAGGTACTAATTATCTTCCAAGAAATCTTATGAAAGTATTTTATAGGATATCTCTGAAAAGTCAAATATGTTCTTGCTGTCTTCCCATTTGGGTTCAACAGTTTTGTTTCTCAGAATCTTGGCATTTTCTTTATTATCATTATGTATATATTCCCAATTCCTTTTTATCATAGCCTTCATGTTTTCTTTGTTTTGATGAAGGCTCATGTCTCTCAGACTTCATGATGTAACTAGAGATATGGATTGAGGATTTCTGGGTCATGGATGTGTCTAATTACAATTTGGAAATAGTTCTAGACTCAAACAAAGTGGTTTTCAACTTAGTGAATAAATGCCTATTACTGAAATATAAGTAAGGAGCCTGAGAATAGTGTCCAGGGCATTTCATACAACTAGAAATACGTCTGTTTCAGCAACACCTTTGCAGATTTGCCCAAGGTGCAGTCCAGTCTCTGCCATCATCAGGTGATGGGGAAACATGGGGTATACAGTACCACACTGTTGCAAGCCTAAAGCTCAATGGGGGTTCCCATCACTCTGAGTTAGAGCTCCTGGCCCTGCTGCAAGGAAGACTCAGAACAGTGGTTTGCAGTCTCCACGAGAACAGAGTTGTCATCCTGTCCAGGGAGCAGGAGGAAATAGTTTTGTAAAAGATAGATACACACACACATATATGTATATATTTACACACATATATGTGTATATATTTCTTATAATGTTCTTGTAGTAGTAATCTAGAATAGTACTAGTACTCTTTTGGGAAGAGTAGTACTCTTTCAGAAAAAAAAAATTGGAAAACAAATCCCAATGGAGAGGAAATATCTAACCAAAACTGTGGTTACTTTCTATAGAGTTTCTATAAAATTTCTGTCTACAAAATTTCTATGGGAGCTTTCTGTAGGCATGCAAAGTTAGAAATGTGCTGAGTATACCAATTAAGAAATAAAAATATTAAGAAAACAGTTATAAAAACCAGATTGTGATGGCATATAGGTACAACTGGGTAAATCTGTCATGCTTCTCATACTGAAAAAAGTAAATATATTGTTGTTTTATGTATTTTTAAATCATTTCATCCAGTTTTGACTTTGTAACTGTTTCTCTCTGGCAGTGTTTTCTGCTTAGAATGTCAAAACACAGTGGTCTTGATGAAGGATTCCTATGAATTGTGACCTCTTTGATCTTTCTCCCTTGATCGAATTTTTGGCACAAGATATCAGGTAATAGCCCATGCTCTGGGACTTTTAATCAAATAAGTTCACCTTGAGATTTTTAAGAGACTGGGAAATACTGCTGTTTTCAAAAATTTTTTAGTTGTGCAAGCACGGTTCAATGTGAGGACTGCTTTTCCCTGTAGGTGGCGACAGGTAGGTTGGAATTTCGCTGATATTTTCAGTTTGGAGGGAGAGCTGGTAACTCCATGATACGCGTTACTCACAAATAATACACTAATTATTTGATGAGTGAGGCAAAAGTTTGGAAGATACCTGCATTTTTCCATGTGAGGAAGAGAAAGCCATGAGTCTATTATAGTAGGTAGGTTGGAGATGTCTGGAGAGAGGTGTTTTTCAACAAAATGCAGAAGAAAGGACAAAAGACTGGTCAAACAGGTCTACCAACTGCTTTGTGCTTATAATTTTTTGTGGTTTCTTTGTCTTGTTTTTGAGGTACTGAGGATTGAACCCAAAGCCTTCACTCTAAGCTACAGTCTCTCATCCTTCTTCTTCTTTTTTTTTTTTTTTTTTGGTACCGGAAATGAAAATCCTTCTTTTATTTACTTTTATGTTTGCTTTGTTTTGAGATAGAGCCTTGCTAAGACATTGAATTGATCAGGCTTGGCTCGAAATTGGAATCCTCCAGCCTCAGCCTGGGATTACAGACATACAGTTTTAAAATCACCCCTGCCTTACAATCATAGGATGATGCCTGTGCACACTAACATGGACTTATGTAAATGCATTTACATTGAAAGACCTAACACAAGGCTTGCTTTAATTTATTTTCTCTTAGTCTCAGAAACACTCAAAATACTTTGCTTTCACAACACTGTCACATAAAGGAAGCCTCAGGATAACATTTTGACAAAGGGAAAAGAACTCAGGAAATTAAGTTGCCCAAAGAGCTGAATTAGCATGAATCCAGTTTATTCATTTGAAGATTAGAATTCCCCAAACTCTCTTGTATAGCTGAGTTTTCTTGAGTGATGATAGAAGAGATTCTCCCTCATAGGGCCCTAATGCTTCACTATTACAATTTTTTATTACTGAGTATTTGTGGGTATTCAAATGTCTTGTCTTTTCTGTCCAGAAAGCCCCAGTACTCCTGATAAGCCATTTCTGACCCTCTTAATTTGAAAATTTAGGCTATATTCCTATGATTACAAAACTGAGTGTCTCTCAGTTTTAATGATATGATTTTGAAATTATTCAAATATCAGAGCATTTGGTCAGCCTCAATTTTTAAAATGTTGTTTGGCTTAATGATGTGTCAGAATGCTTGAACATTGATCAGTGGCATCTTGACTGGAGAGCCATGAAATATTTCTGTTTGGTCAAGACTCACTGGGGTTCTGCATTAGTCAGAAAATTGGCAGTTGGGTAAGTTGATTTGACCCAAACGAATGTTAACTACCCTGCTGTCTTTTATAAATATGTTGATATTAACTTTAAATATCTAAGATGCTCTTTAAATGACTAACTTTAAGGCTTAAGAGTCTGGAGAAAAAAGAAAGATGACAAAGAGCTACCTCAAAAGAGGATATCGAGTCGTGCATATTGTCCTGTTTCTTTCCACTGCTGTTTTTGAAACATGCCTCATTCAAATAGACTTGCTAACATCCAGACAGTAATATTTGATAATGAAAAAGAACAAGTGAGAATGAATTGATGGATACTTTGATTCACATACTTTTTACCTTTCAAAGAGAATTTGATTTTTAAAATCTTGAGATGTATCGGAGGAATATCTCTAATGCATTCTGAATGAAAGTAAGTATTGGAGTGACTTTAAACGAACATAGTGCAAAATTTATTAAGTTTTCACTGCAGGTTAAAGCACCAGTTTTAGGCTTGCAGGAACATCTGCACTGTTTTTATTTTTCTTTAGTCTATTATTCTACTGTTATTTGGCTAGGTGTGCCACTAGGCATAGAGACAAGGAAGTTAAGGAGGCAGAAAACTAGAGAAAGCATCTGTGTCTTTTGAGAATCTCCTGGCATTGGGAGCATGTTAAATGAAATAGTTTAGTAAACCTATGTATACAAGATGCAGTGAGAATGTATTGTGCAAACATTATTGAACAACTATAATTTTTAAGGTTAAAGGAACTCCCATTGGTCTATGTAAAGGTGTTAAAGCATAAGTCATTTCAGTAGTGTTGCTTTTAGTCATAAGGCTGGAGGAACGATGTGTGCATGTGGATGGAGAGATTGAGATGTTCATGGTAGAACATAACTGAATATGAGAATAGTTGAAAATCTATTAAAATTTGACTTTTTGATAATTTATGGAGGTCATAATTATTGCTTCCTTTGAGATCAGAGTTTGGTCTTTGCTAGACTCTTAAACCTTTGTTGAATAAATTATTCCTATGACAATGATTATTGAAAATAATACAAATACTGTAAATGAAATTTACCATTATTATCAACTGAAGCAGTAAGGCTTTTTAAAAAGAAAATTGGAGGGGTCGGAGTTTGGAGGTGTAGCTCTGAGTTGGGTACTTTCCTATCATGAGGGAGGCCCTGGGATGGATCCTCAGGACTGCAGGGAAAAAAGGGAAAATTTGAGGCCAAATTAGATTATTCTAAAGAATTTCTTTTAAGCTATAGCCTAATAACTTGATCTCACTTAGTATGATTCTATCTGTTTTGGTAGATTTATTTTGATTAATGTATAATCTATTGTAGAGTATGTAATTTAGAATAGATTGCATGCTTTAATATGATTATTTGGTTTAAGCATTGTGTATGGGGAAAATATAAACCTTTTAAAACCTATTTTCAGGAGCAAAGTAGGAGCCTGTATAACTTTTTTTTTTTTTTTTTTTTTTTTGTCTTTTTCCTTTTTATCGGTACCCGGGATCGAACTCACGACTGCCTGCTTGCAAGGCAGGCGCTTATGCCGCTGAGCTAAATCCCCAGCCCCTGAGCCTGTATAACTTTACCTAGATGAGGATTGGCACACTAAACTTGCAATGGAGAACATATTCTGATGTAGAAGAAAGTATTTATTAATATTTAGTGTTGTATAAATGTTTCCACAAGTATCTATCTTTATTATGTTATAAACTAAGTCAGTTATGACTTAAACCAAGCATTCAGATCAGTAGTTGCTGAAGTCAGGGTGCAAAAGGAAATTTAGGAGGATGATGGATGTTTTCACGATCTTGATCATGGTGATGGCTTCATAGGTGTGTATACACACCTATCAAATTTATGCTTTTTTTCTAGCGATACTAGGGATTGAATTCAAGGCCTCACACTGAACTACATCTCATCCCTCTCTACCTAAATCATTAGATTTCCCAGGCTAGGCTTGAACTTGCAGTCCTGCTTCTGCCTTCGTGAATGCTGTAATCATGGTTGTGCAGCATACTTTCGATACATGTGCAGTTTAAGAAATGTCATTTATTGTTGATAAATAATGGTATGTTTCAGTAAAACAGTTTAAAAGTAAGCTCTGCAACCTGTGATGCAGCTAATACTGCAGTTGCCAAGTGATCTTTTGTTATTCAAAGTCCCAATCTCCCAGACTTCAGTCATGATTCATTATGGTGTCAGATGCCTTTTGGCATTTACAGTGACAGAAGACAGAGGACACCTTTGGTGTGGGAAGAGGGCGGCTATTGTATTAAACTCTTTCTCTTGACAAATTTGTTACAGGACTTGCAACTGCTTCCTTTTAATAGCTTGTTTCTATGTTAGTTTTAATTTGAAAATTGATATAAAATTAGTGCATGCTTATTGTAAACCTTCAAAACTCGAAGCAATAAGGGGTGCACATTTTGTGCGTGGTGGGACACTCCTGTAATCCTGGCATTCAGGAATCTAAGGCAGGAGGATCACCACAAGTTCAAGGCAAACTTGGGATACATAGTGAGTTCAAGGCTATTCTGAACTACTCAGTGAGACTGTCTCAACCAAAGAGAAAAAAAAAAAAAAAAAAGCAGACAAAGTGAAAAAGGAAAGTCCTCTTTTTATGCTTCCAATCTACTTCTTAGGGAAATATTGTTAAAAATCTGATGCATATCTTTTCAGATGGCATATAAATGTGTATGAATGTAGTCATATATTTGTTTGTATTATTTTTATCATTCTTATTAGTACATGTTTGCAGTACATGCAGTTGACCATCATCTTGGGAAGTAGGTACATGTATATAATACAGCTTGATTCTTTTTCTTAAATCCCCTTCCCCTTCCTTCCTCCTCTTTTAAATCTCCTTTCCTGATTTTCATTCTTGTTGATACTGTTAACCCTATCTCATGTTTATAACATATAATGTTTACATTCATTGAGGTCATTAGCTTCTTGTACATGGCATACCTTTGCTCTGCTTATTTCCTGTTCTTCTCCCCTTCCCTCTCATCCACATTCTCTTGGACCCCTTCCCATTTGCAAGGAATCTATCCCCTGGTGTCTCTTTCTACCCATCCTTTCTTGTGCTCTTTGTAATTTTCCTTATTCAAATAAGAGATGCTACACTGTATTTAAACTTGTGTGTCTGATTGATTTCACTCAACATCAAATTTTTAAGTGCATTCCTTTTCCTATAAATACCCCAAATTTGCTCCTTTTATAGCCAAACAATATTCCATGATATATAGATACCACGTTTTCTTTATCCAATCATCCATTGATGACTATAAGGGTTTTTTTTTTCCAGGATTTAGCTATTAGGAATTGTGCTGATGTAGTTCTGTGTGTGTGTGTGTGTGTGTGTGTGTGTGTGTGAGACTGTTTCTGTGTGTTGCTATACTATGATGTCCTTAGCTTTTTGGGGAAGACACCTAGCAGGGGGATAGCTGGGTCATATGGAATTTATAATTTTACTTCTTGAGGAATTTCCATAATGCTTATAGTAGTTTACCTTCTTACCAACAGTGTAGGGGGATTCTTTTTTCACGTACACATGCCAGAATTTGTTATTGTTTGATTTTGTAATAATTGCCACACTCTGGTGTAAGATGAGAATCATTTGATTTGCAGTTTTCAATGGTC